TCTAGGCTCTAGCCTTCTGTCCAACATCTCTACCACCTCCATGAAACCAACTTTTGGGAAACAATCTGTTAAGCTCATTCAACTGAGGGGTTCGTAGTGTTAGGTTAATTTAAGTTAGTACTTTGCTGCTTGGAGATGCTGCAAGAGAAAATCTGAAGGAACTTTGGGGAAATAGGGGCTGAGTGGACGAGGGGGAGGGGGTGTAGGTATTAGTAGTGACACTTCCCAAAGTCTCAGCCTCTGGGCCTCAGCCCGCAGGCCTCAGGACATGCAGCTGTATCTTGGGGTTCCGAAGGAGAGATGGCAGGAGCGGTGCAGCTCAGAAAAGTATTTCTTATTCTCTCCCTGCCCGGAGACACAAATACTCTGCCAGCGTCCCCCACAACCCACCTGGTCAGCCCCTCCCCCGGGAATCGCACGGCCACGCGACCCTCAATAGAATCTGGACTGCCACTGAGGTGGCCATGAGCCCCTAGCCTGGACCTACCCGCCTGGGGCCGCGGGAGGTCCGCGGAGGCCGGATTTCCGGACGAAAACAACTTGGGATGGCGAGGGACCCGGACTGGCTCGCCGGGCCGTCGCCCTCCTCCCGGCCCCACACTCCCCGACACCACCCGAGTCCGTCCCCGGCCCGGCTTCCACGTCGCCCGCCTCCGGGCTCCCGGCCCCCCCGATCTGTCGCTTCCCCGGCCTCAGCCACCGTGGACCGCGCTCACCTCTCCGGCCGCAGCGCCGCCGCCGTTGCCAGGACGACGGCTGCCCGCGGAAGGCGGAAACAGCCGAGTGAGTGACTCGGAGGCCGAGGCCGCCCGAAGCGCCACGAGAGGCCGGAAAGAGCCGAAAGTGATCGGGGACGTTCGTGCGGAGGGTTAGATTGCTCAGCGGGTTCCCGCCCGCGGCGAGCTCCCAGGTTCTACCGGGCAGTTTCCCCCCATCTCAGCCACGGAATCTACAACGCTAGCGGGGCCAAGAGGCCAGGGTATGCCAACCTGAGCAGAGAAGGGAGCTGGTGAAATTCTTCTAGGGGTGATGGCGTTGCGAAACCTGTTGGGATCCGCTCCTGTAGTTACATCTTTTCTACCGCTTAGGTTCTGTCAGGAGGTGGAGGAAGGCACCTTCTGAGACTGTCGGGGAGAAACGGAACGCCATCTTCTCTTGTGAATCTTATTGCTGGGTCTTCTGGACCCCAGACCGTTTCTAGGTTCTGCTTTGTCTGACCTTAAGGAAGAGGTGGTTCCAGAGTATTCCTGAGAAAAGCCAATGGACTGGACACACTTCCTTGAAGTTATTGATTTCTCAATGCTTTGGGGGACATATGGACGCCTTTGGCGAGAAAATGTCAGCCAATAATGATACGGGTTCATCCTATTGGAAACCAACCTGACTCATGGAGACAGACAACATCCCTAAAAGTATTAACAACTGCGCTCTGACCTTGTGGTTTGAAAAACAAAGCAATGTCATGCCATTAAAAAAAGTTTCTAGGGCAAAAAGATCCATTGTTAAATGAAAAAAGAAAGTGTAGATACCACTGCATGAGATGGGATAGGCATCTCCAAGGAAGACTCCGAAGTTTATATTTTTTAAAAACCCACTTTCATTTATAGAATTTTTTTTTTTTGCGTGTCTACTTAGGTGCCTTATGAACATTTTTGCCATGTCCCCTTTTTAATATATTGGGGAGGGGAGGTGACACTGGTTAACAAAACTATACAGGTTTCAGGTGTACAATTTTACAACACATCTGTGCACTGTATTGTGTGTTCACCACCCCAAGTCAAGTCTCCCTTCACCCCAATTTATCCCCCGTCTCCCTCCATCTCCGCCACCACCCCAGTATTTTTAAGTAATAAATTTGTGTAAATTTATGGTATATAGCGATGTTTAGATGCACTTAGATATTGCATTATGATTTCCCACATAGCTTATTTATCACATTACTAATTGTAGCACAATATTGTGTGTATTCATTATATTGTGCATTCGATATATATAATAATATGGCTTATTAACTACTCCCTACAAGTTTGTCCTTCAACATCATTACTCTCATCCCACCCATAAACACTAGAATTTTTAAAACACTCCTTTATTTCCCTAATGGAGGAAAACGGCCTAAGTGCCCAGCACTATCTGCTTACTAAAACAAAACTCTTTAAAAGCACACACTCAACCCAATAAAAAGTGTATTTATTTGCCTCGGTTGCACTTCCATACTTTTTTCTTTCGCGCGGGATGCTACACTCGGAGCTGGGGCGGCGTTTTCTTCTCACGCATCCGTCATACGGCCTTAGCCAATCACAGCCAGGAACTGATTCTATTGGCTGTCGTCCGACCAATCCGAAGAGACGCACCAGCCTGCAAAGCCGCAAGGCGGCGTCACAACATTACCCGCGTCGCAGACAACACCCTCCCGCCCCCGCCCAGCGTCCCTGCGTGCAAGCAAGCGCGCCCACCGATGGCCAATGGGAGCGCCCTTAGCCGGGCGCGCTCGCCGAAAACTGCGGACGTGCTCGTCCCCGCGCGCTTCGCCCCGCCCCTCTCCCAGCGCCCGCCGCCCCGGTCCCGCCCCGCGCTCCGCCCTTGCGGTCTCCTTCGGCCGCCGTAGCCGGAACTGCTGCTGTGCGCGGCTGGCCGGGTCTCCGGGAGGCTGAACGGCGGCGGCAGCATCGGCTCCCGCAGCCCAGTCAGCCGCACCCCGGCTGCGGAGGGGACGTGCCGGGGCAGGCGTCGCTGGTCGACTGTTTCCGAAGCGGGAGCACAACACCGGCGTAGCGGTCTTGCTGCAGTCGGGGCCCGGGGCTGCCCGGCCCTTCCGGATCTGCGGGCACCCGGGAGGCCCCCGGAGGGCCCGGGAAGCCAGGCTGCTGCGAGGCATTGATGAAAAAGGTGACCGGAGGCTGGGGCTCGACAGGGGTAGGCCGCCTCGACCGGCTGTCATGGCGATGCCAGGCTCCCTGCTTGGGTGGGGGCTGCGGAGGAGCGGCCTGTTCCCTTGCCACGGTAGTTAAGCACGCGGTGCTTTGTCGGAGCGACTCCGGGGAGTCCGGACCGAGAAGGGTTGCCTTGGCAGTGCGCTTTGTGTGCAGCCAGAAATCGGCTAGAGAAGGGAGGGCATTGCTTCTTCCTTCCCGAAGCGTGACAACAGGCGTCGAGCTGAGATTGGGCTTGAGGCGATTCCATCTCTGTGCAGGTTCAGGAAGTCATGTTGGAGGTTTTCCTTTAAAGGTTTTATCCTCCTGTTTTCCTTTAACCATTGGGGAAACCTCAGAAATGTGTCGGTATCCTTTAAATTCTGAAAAGCCCTATTCTTCGGTGTTTAGTTTAGTGTCTTAACATTCAGCCTGGCAAACAGGCAAGTTTATTCGGTTGTGGTTGATATACGCCTTGCCTGAGCCCTTGTGTTGACGGTGGGTAGCTTTCAGGCCCCTGGGAAATAGGATTCTCCACATTATAAACAAGAGGAAGGCCCTTTTGGATCCTTTCAGACTTCTTTAAACATAAATAGAAAGGTTGAGAAGCGAATACTGAGAAGTCCTGTGCAATGAAATGCTTTACGTTTGGCTATTTGTTTTCGTTGGCAGGGTGTTTTGTTTTGTGGTTTTTTTTGTTTTGTTTTGTTTTTTTTTAACCAGCACGAATTCAAATGATTTAGAAGATCAATTACAACAAGTGAAAACTGTTTAGAGATTATTTTGTGACTGAATACATCAGAGCAGGAGTAGGTATTACTATGGTTTTTACTCATTTCCAAACCTTTCTGTGAGAGGTCCTTGCCCCTGTTACTGTATTTTATTGCTAACCGTGATGCCTTGTTCTTTCTTTCCTTTTAAATGGAAAATGTTCTCGACCTTAGCAGTTGTGTTCAGTTTGACAAACACAGTTTGAGCAAAGCATGGACACCTGTTGAGGAATCTGATTGTCTTTCTTCTTTATCGCACGTACACATTATTCCCCTGCCTATCATGTTGATAAGTACCTGATACTCTTCGTTTATTTCTGAGTGGGTCTGTCTTCTGGGTTGCTTTTCAGAGTCATGGCATTTTGTTGTTGTTGACATTTCATGTGGCAGTGGGTCACCGTGCTAATGAAGAATTTTTATTAATGGTTACCAAGAGTTTTAACACAATTGTCTTCTATCCATTTGGACCCGGACATACTGTGTCATCGCTTTCTCGGGTGGCTCCAACGTGTTCCATGCAACAGGCTCCTTTGTTGCAAAAAAAATACTTAAAATTCCTAAATCCCCGCGGCAGTACCCATCTCCCACCCTGGGAACCACGATTCCCAGAAACCCCGAGCTTATTATTCTTTATGTCTGTTTAAAAATAAGCAGGCGGACGGCCGGGCCGCCGGGCCACCATGGAGTTCCCTGTGCACACCGGCCAGCCCGAGCCTCTCCCCTCCTGCCGGGGTGGATCCGGGCCCCTCGCTCCCACTCCAGGGCCCGCTCCGGGGGCCGGCGCGGGGGGCAGGTGCGCGGGCCAGGTGCCACGCGCGTTTGGGGGGCCGGGAGGGGTCGGGCTGGGGGGTGGAGCGCGGGCGCCGAGGCCCAGCCGGCCAGGGCGGCCCGGGGAGCGAGGCCGACGCGCAGGCTCCTCGCCTCGCAGGCCATGAGCCGCGGCCCCGTCGAGTGAGTGGTTTCGGGCCGCGACGCCGGTACCGGGGACCCCGAACCTCGAGTCCCGGACGCGGGACCCCGGGTCCCTTTCGACCCCGACGGGCTGGGGCGGGCGCCGCGCGGGCAGGGCCATCTGGGCGCGGCCGCCGAGCTGCCGCCCGGTGCCCCCGGCGCCCCTGCGTCCTCGGCCCCAGGGTCCGGGCCGCGGGGCTCGGGGTCCGGGGTCCCGGGTCCGGGGCGGGCGGCCGGGCCGGGCGGCGGCGGGCGGGCCGGGCGAGGACCTGGAACAAACAACGGCGGCCATGTTGAGAGGGAGGCGGGCGGCTAAACTTCGCGGCGGCGGCGCCTCACCGGGGCCCCTCTCCTCCTCTCCCGCAGGATGACAGTGAAGTTGGGAGACGGCGGCGGCGGGGAGGACGGACTCAAGAGGCTGGGCAAGCGGGCTGCCGACGAGGATGCGCTGGAGGGCGAGGGCGCCGGCGGCGGGGATCCGGCCGAGGACGGCGGTGGCACAAAGAGGGACGGCAAGACCCCCCGGGGCGGCGGCGCCCCGGCCCCCGCCAGCGGCCCGCAGGCCCCGTCGCCGCCGCCCGCCTGCCCCCAGGACCAGCACCACTTCCTCCGCTCCAGCGTGCGGCCGCAGAGCAAGCGGCTCCGGAAGGACTCGGCGGGCGCCGGGGGCAGCGGCGGCGGCAGCACCAGCGGCTCCGGGCCTCGCGGGAAAGGTAGGGGGACCCCAGGCCCTTCGAGGATGTGCCCTGCGCTCTCTCTCACCTTCGTGCCTTCCCTGCAGCCCCTGATCCCGCTCCTGCATTTGTCCCCAATTTGGGGTTGCACTCTGGAGGAGAAGTGCCTGTTTCTCCTCCCAAGAGGCTGTTCCTCCCTGTGTTTAAACCATGATAAAAGACAGGAAGTATCCTGTCTTTGGGCAAGTACAATAGGTTCTTGAAGGTTGTTTTTTCCCCCCCTCCTCCAAGGATCATTGATGATGCAGGCTATTTTGTGTAGCAAACAGTAGTTTAGAAATGGAGAGAGAAAATACTGCAGCATCTTAGCCAGTCGTCAGATGGTGGAAATACAACAAAGGAATGGGCTTCTGAAACTTATTTGGGGGAAGGTTGATAAGCCAAAAATATTCCAGGATCTGACTTGGGCACTTTATCCTCTATTTCAAGTATTCTAGGCTCAAAAGTTATTAAGGGCATCAAGACGTGTTTTTTACGTCCTTTGAGTTTTGATGCCCTGGAAAGAATTCCCCTCTAGGATAAGAAGTAGTGAAAACATTTGTGGCCTGATTTAAAAGAACAACAGTCAACAAAGTTTGTCAAGGTATTCTGAGGCGATTGAGAAGATTTCAGCTTTACTAGGATCCCTAACCAAAGTAATAAAACCACATGTCAGTTTTGTTTCTGATGTGCTGGTTCTCCATTATTTTCTTTTATCCTTTTCTGTTTCAGCATTCTGCTTTTCTTCAATTGTACAAATGAATTGCTCTTAACATCCATTTTGTTTCAGACCAAATATGTAGCACTTTTGTAGATAGCAAATGTAATGTAAATTTCCAGTGAGTTTTTCATGGAAAAAACTTTCACTTAGCTCCTTGGTAAATGGTCCTTCATATTTATTAGATGGTCCTGATAGTTTTAAAAAGTAAATATTTTGGAAGCTAACAAGAGTACCCAAATGTGTGTCGTTAAACTTGCCTTTTCTATCTCATTCTCAATTGAAATGGCCTTACTCATTTTTTGGTAAAGAATTTTGATGTAAGTATTTTTACTTAAAGACGTAAGTAGTTTAGTTCATCTCAGAAACTAAAACTTGCCTCATAAATATACTTTGGATGTGATAGTTGCTGATTGGTTAGGAAAGTAATAACTTATTTTACTAACTTCGTTTGTTTTGTAAAAAAAAATAGCTTTTCATTCCTAGTTACAGGTGTGTCTAAGATAAGTCCCGTGAATGCCTTCAAGAGTTTGTGGCTTTAGTCTCCCTGAATCTGGAGTCCAGTCAGAGCTTACTGCCTGTCGCCCTGGCCCTCTGACCTTGGACTACTCACTTGGCCTCTTGAATCTGCTTTTCCATCAGAGAGGTGTCCTCACCTGTGAAATAAGGAACAGCAGCGACTGCTCCATTCTCTCAAAGTCTGGCTGCGAAGATGAGCCGAGGTGCTGGTGTGAAAGCCCTGTCACTGTAAATAACCAACTCTCTGTGAGATGCTAAAACTCACAGTGGTTGGCTATATTTCTAGTAGGTAGTTAGGGGAAGTTTGCTATCACTTGCATGGTTGGGTGTGACTTGCAAAAAGGTTTCCTGGAATAGCCTTGAATCAAGTCCTTGGTGCTTCTGTACTTAGTTCCTGTCCCCAGATGTGTGGCTCGGAGCAGCCATCGACTTTTCACTAGTAAAATGGAAATTTGTTAGAATTTGTGCTTCTTGTAACTTATGTATTTTCCTACGTTAGCAGACAAATGTTTCTTTAAATAAATAATAAAGCTAAGCTATACATATAATGGAGAGGAGTAGGACTTGTATCTCCTTTTCTTCACAGAACTCAGCCGGCATCTGGCCTTGGGCCCCTCTAGACTGTGCTCGAGCTTGGGCTACCTGATCCTTTGGTTCCTCCTCTCCACACCCAGCACCTCAGGGCATCCCCTCCTTATGCCTCAGGGTACCCTCTGCTCCCCGGCCCCCGGTAGCAGCCAGAAAAGAAGGCCCTGTGACAAAATGCTGCTAACCTTTGAAAATCGTTCTTAGAGAAGCATTGTCTTATGGGATATGGAAATCTCCACTTGGGGTGGTGAGCACAGGTCATTAAGGAAATGAACAGAGTAGAAGGCCCTTGAATTCTGTCCTTGTTAAAATGGTGATGAGATGCCCTAGGAAGCATCTTGTTTTATCTCTAAAAGACTATGGTAAGCCCAACATTTATCAACGAGGTTAAGTGAGAACGTTCTATACTGCCATTTTTTTTGTATTTCTCTTCAGAAAAATATAATTTCTGTTACGATTAAGAAATAATCACAGTCTGGTCATTGGAGGTCCCTTTGGTTGATTACTTACTGCTCTTGCCAGTTTTCAGTCGTGAGAACCTTGCAGTGAGTTTGGAGAAGATTGCGGTGAAAGGGAAGTCCTCATTTTGCTTCTGTCCACACAACTTGTGTTTTCTTTATAAAAACAGACTTTTGTCAACTTCAATGAAAAAATAATTTTTCTAGTATAATTTTGAATTCTTTTTGAACTGATAGAGAGAAAATGGCTAAGATTTAGGGTCTCTGTGCCAGACATCTTGCATTTCAGTTACTTTAGTTTTGAATAGATGCAGAAACTGAAGTTTGTTGTTTAAATGACGTGTTTAACCTAAACGGAAGGTATGCTGCAGATGCGAAACCAGTGACTCTACTTGAGGCCAAAGCAAATGTTTCTGCAGCCGTACCATGCTGCCCAGAGTGATCCAAGAGTGCATTTGAGACTGAAAACCAGAATTCACAGATCCATGAGAACATGGGCCAGGAGACAGAGGCCCTCATGCCTTTCTCTGTTTGGCAGTTCAACTCTGAATGAACTAGTACATCTCAATTTCTTTGTCTATGAAGGGGATAATACCAATGCCTGCCTCGGCAGAGCAAACACCACAACCAGGCCTTTGCAACAAGGTCCTACAAGGCCGAGCTTAATGGGCTCCCAGTCCTTCTCTATGGGAAATGTGCCTGGCTTTGGGATCGGGGGCTTTAGGCTGAGTCTGAGCAGGTGGACGGGGGAGAGGAAGGCCCTCTGCGGTGATAGCTGGTTTAGGTCCCAGGAATTCCCCCAAGCTTCTGTCCTGTCAGTATAGTTGGGCTGAGGGCGTTCCTGAGGTGGGATAGAGCCTTCTGTTTTCATTGTGTCATGTGCCTCTTATCTGCCCCTCCCACCCCATCTCCCCAACTTTGGCTCCACTTGCAAGGGGAGCTAGTCACAAGACGTACTGTCTCCACAACCGGACCATGTCAGCTGACTTAACTGTGCTTGTGCTTAGGGATCATTAAGGCTCTGTACAGAATATACTTACATTCTATACTCTGTACAGAATATACATTTCATATAACATTTTGCCTGCAGCTCTGGGTGTCTTTAAAAGATGTCTTGCCCTAGCCAGTTTGGCTCAGTGGATAGAGCATCCGCCTCGGATGAAGAGGACCGGGTTTGATTCCGGCATGGCACACACCTCAGTTGCAGGCTTGATCCCTAGCCTTGGTTGGGGCACGTGTGGGAGGCAGTCATTTGATGTGTCTCTTACATTGATATTTCTCTCTATCTCCCCTCCCCTTTTACTCTCTAAAAATCAATGGAAAAACATTCTTCAGTGAGGAATAAAAACTAAAAAAAGATGTCTTATGCCACATCTCACTCTTATTTGGTCAAACTTTGAGAGACAAACCATATGAGAAAGAGGTATGAACCAGCAGTCAGGAGACACACCTCCCCGCAGAGCTGCTGCGTGGCTGGCCCAGCTGTGGGGCAAAGGAAAAGTTGCTCAACATGCCCAAACCTTAGGTTCCTTACTTTCAAAATGGGTCTGGTGAGATAGTGGCTTGAAGGTGTGTGTGTGTGTGTTCTCAGGAGAGTGTTGTGAAAGGCAGATTGCCTAAAATCAAGATAGCTCTATATCTGGTGGGCTCTGCTTAGCCTTGACTCTGGGAACACTGGGCAGGGAGTGGTGAGAGTGCACACTCCTCCCTCCAGGTGTGGCACTGCCTGCTGTGCCTACTGTAACTCCACCTCTCGTCTACACTGTCATCACCGTCACTGCCCCTTTATCAAAGCACTGGAGCCAGGCCCCAGGCACCTGGGTGGAGTATGGCCACAAATTCTTTACAAGTTCCCGCCCTCCATACTCTGTACAGAGGAAGGCCGACCCATCAGGTGGTCACAAGAGCTCTGCGATCTTCCTGGTTTGGTTCAGTAAATGAGGTTTAATAAAGTCATGTGCAGTGATGACTGCATGGAGCCACCATGGCCACCTAAGCAGGAATGTCAAGTTTTGCTGAAAGGTGTCAGTCAGACTGTTGGGAGAAGAGGAGGAGGAGGAATCCATTCCCCTGACTCTGTCTAGCACCCAGTGGCACCATCCCCTGTGATGGCTGCACACAGTGGGAGACACAATAAATAATGCCAGCACATGGTCCTGTGGTGTGACATGACTCCCTGTGCACAGTAAGTCAGGAGACCTCTGTGTGTGGTCCAGGCTACTTGAAAGATGGATCTGTTCAGGACAGAGGAATATATTGGTAAACCAGAGGGTCTTAGTAAATTACTAAGTTCAGGGTTGTATAGGTTTCATTTGCTTCATGTGAAAGATGTGGATAGATAGTATAGGTGAGGAGATGAGGTAACATTTGAATATTGGTTTGAAGACAGCTAAATTTTCTTTTGACATCAAAACTAATACCTCATTGACTTTTTTTTTTAAATCCTCGTCTTAAGGATTTATATATATTTCTCCCCACTGATTTCTAGAGAAATTGGAAGGGAGGGAAGAGGGGAGAGAGAGAGAAACATTGATGTGAGAGAGACCCATTGATTGTTTGCCTCCTGCATGTGCCCCTACTGGGGCTGCTGAATCTGCAACTGAGGTACGTGCGCTTGACGAGGAATCAAACTCTCGACCCTTCAGCCTGTAGGTCAATGCTCTAATCACTGATCCAAACTGTCCAGGGTCCTCATTGACTTTTAATGTCAAAACTAC